TGCCTACCCTTAATTGACGGAGGAGGAGACGCACATAAAGAGGACATTTCTCCTTCCTATACGTCTCCTCCACTGTCAACTCCACTTTTCCTTCCCGTCCTTTCCTCTTAAGAAAAGGATGGGAAGACAAAGGGACTAAAATTAGGCCTCCGGCACCACACTCATCAGGCTAGACGTGGATTTGCTCTCACTTCACGCCTGTTTTCTGTGTGGTCGTGGTATTACACCGGGCGAGCCGGCCCATTAGTACGAAGGTGTTAAATGTATGTATGTGTAAAATGTATATAATGAGAGTAATGTATCTTACCACATATAAAACATGTGTTCTTCAATATAAGTTCTTTTTGCTGCTTCTCGCTGCGCAGGTCTGCGAAGGTGTCGATGATCACACCGAATATTAGATTCAGCACGATCACGATCACCACGAAGTAGAATAGTAGATCGTACACGACGCGTGCAACGAATAATGGCTCCTGGAAATTTGGATTTAGAAACATCAATTAATAGACCCAATCCGTCAACTAGATATAGGAAAAAATCTATACTAATATGATAAAGCTTCTTTGTTATGTAGCATATCAGCCATCACAGCATATTTTTGCAGAACATTTTTTTATAAAAAAAAAACTCTACACTGACAGTATGCTGTAGGTTATATATTTTTATGTAATTTAATGGGGGGGGGGAATAAATTGTAAAAAAAATGCCCTGCAAGAAAAGAGTAAAGAGAAAAGATTTATATTTTTCTATGTATTGAAATAACTCAAAAACTGAGCCGTTTTCAAAAATTCTTTCACCATTAAAAAGCTACATTCTCAGTAAGTAACAAGGGGTTATATATTTGAGTCCAGGCGGATGTTTTGGCTGGATAATGGTATACTGACATAGCTGGCGGGCGCGAGCAGTATGTCGCCGATGCCGCCGCCGTTGCGCAGGCCCTGGTTGAGCGTGGTGACGATGCACATGATGAGCGAGTCGCAGCTGCGCTCCCGCAGCGACCCGCCCACCGACACGAAGCGCGGCGCCTGCTGGTACTTGCTGGCCGGCCCCCCCGGCGCCCCCGGCACGCCCTCGCAGCGCTCCGAGAACCGCGGCTCCTCGTCGTCTACACGATTAACACTAACGTTACCTTACTAATATTATACATTCGAATGTTTATATGGATGTTTGTTTATAGTCTAAACTGCTGAATGGATCTCCATTAAATTTGGCATAGATAGTTCGTAAAAGAAGAAAATTAGTACAGCGCTGTAGGATTGGCGCAACACTAGATTATCGGCATACACGTCACGTCCCTAACTGACAGCTGTCAATGTCATTAGAAATATTGGAAAAGCGCGCCATTATGGCGGGATCAGAGCTCTTAAGTTAATAACGCTAGTTACAATGGGGACGTTTCCTAATTTTTGGAATTGCTTTTATTATGTAGATAAACCATATCTAAACAAGAAAAAAAATATAATAAAATAATATACGCAACATTTAATTACAAAAACACTTAACTAAAAACAACTTCTCGAAAGACCGCGAAAACGCCTCATGACATGACGTCACTTCTTTGCTAACAAATCTCGCGTCGCGGCCTGTCAAAGTCATTCAAAGTGACCAGACGTAAATTGAATTAGCTATTCAAATAACTTTTACTATTTTTTTTTCGTCATAGTGATCGAAAAATTTGCTCGTAAAATATGTCGTAAATATAAAAACACTTAATAATGGAGTCCTCATAATATAACACACGCAAACTCAATTATTATAATCATTAAAAAAAATTATAACTACAAAATGCACTGACATTCACTGAAGCTGGTCACACTGCCATGTTGTTTGCGAAGAAGCTACGTTACGAGTAATGGAGGGTAAAAAATATTGCAGCGTTTTTAATTTATATTTCAATGGAGACAAACATTTAAGGTCTCCAAATGTTATTATAGGTTTTAAGATACTGTCTTTAAAATATTAAACATAACTTTATTTGAATTTGTAACATTAGGAAACATCCCCATTATAATTATGAAAGTTTTTTTTAAATAATTCATCGAAAAATATATTATGTGCTTGAAATAGTTTGATTTTAAAGTGGTTACAAACATATATGAAAATAAATTGGAATTAAATAAAAACAAAATCTCTAGTCATATGAGAGATACGAGCGCCATCTATTGTTAATCGGGCAACAATGACAGACACAAATCTATACTACAAACAGACGTTAGCAAGCACACATTGCACATACATCGATATATTTAAATAAACATACATTGTACAACTCCCCCGTTCGCTGCAAAAATAGCATACGTTTAAAGACATTTAAAAATATACACAAGGCATAGTGAACTACATTTTTTCACCGGTACTTTCTCTGAAAGGTACTATATCAATAGGGAATATATTTTTTTTTTCTTTTTTTAAACGATTCTACTTGTTATAAAATAACCAGAAAAAAAATTTGAGGCGAAAATATTCAGCCATTGAGCAAAAAATAATAAAATAAAATTACGACCATTTTCCAGCGACTAAAACGCGACCGGAGTTGTCAATAGACAATTGACGTCAATCGTCTTATTCCATTCATAACATACGTTCAGATGTCACTTCGACGTAAAAAACAACAAAGCTTCTGAAGGTCAAAAAGTGAAAAATCGTTTAATTTTTATTATTCCTAGTACAAATAAGTGGTAATTAATCGTTCTATTCATTATTTTTTTTATTTTAAAGTTTGTTTTGATATCGTGGTACAGTAAAAGGCACTTTTTAATGATTAAATTTTGCAACTAAATCACATTACATTTAAAAAAATCTTTGCAGGAATGTTTTTATAGTTATAAAGTATACTTAAAAAAAGTTGGCACAATTAGGCGTCATATGCATATTGCCTATTGTTGAGTTTCTTCGTGTCTTTGTCAATCATGTAATAAAACATTTAGAAAAATAATAATCCTTGGTAATAAAATAACATATGAACATTTAATGACATTACAAGCAACTAATTTATATACAAAATATATTGACATGTGGTTTTGAGGATCCGTTATAAATAGTGTTGAAGAAGAGCATGAGAAAAAGTTCCAAGCGAAATGTCAACTATGCCTAATATATTAATGTATGCAAGAAGGTACAAAAAAATTATATAGACGTATAACATTTTTAGTAGAACCTCGATAAGTTAAAGTCCAAGGGAAACACAAAATATTTTAAGTTATAGAGGTTTTAAGTTATCAAGGGTCCATTTTTTAGTGGTTTTAGGCTCTGATAGGAAGAGAACATATTATTTTTTGAAGTTATAGAGATTTTTAAGTTACTGAAGTTCGAGTTATGGAGGTTCTACTGTATACCAAAAGATGTAGCTTATTATAATGTAGGTAATTATTATATCATTACAAAGACATGAAGTGGCACTAAACTTGACCACTGAGATACCTTTTAAAGAAAGTACCGGTGAAATGTGGACTATGTCTAGTCTATATTTGTTGAATGTCTATGGTATTAGGCGATGTGTGGAGCAGGTTGTGAGAGTTACCATCGAGCCGGTCGACGTTGAGCAGGAAGTGGTCGCGGAAGAACATGTAGCCTACGATGGAGAACATGTAGACGAGCACCAGCGCCAGCACGGCCGTCAGCAGGATGGACCGCCCGTTGCGGGTGACCGACCGCATCACGTTCAACAGCGTCTCCTCGCGGTACACGATGTCGAGCAACTGGAAACATAATTAACAGCAATTAAACCCTTCTTCCACTAAGATATGCCCAATATATAACAATCACTATCGCGCCAGACGAAGACACCAGACTAAAAAATTGCTTCGTGAAAAAAGAGTTATTTCATTTCTACGTAAGATCTATGGCGTAAACTGAAGCAGAATGTATCTATATAAAGCACTAGCTTTAGCCCGCGACTCGATCCGCGTGAAATTTGAAAATAATAGACAAGTAAAAAAATATAGCCTATGTCACTCATAGATAATTTACCTTTCTAACTGTGAAAGAATTTTTGAAATCGGCCCAGTAGTTTAGGAGTCTATTCATTACAATCAGACAAACAAATTTCCTCTTTATAAGTATTTTGTAGAATAAATTTACTTTAACTTATGTAGTGTTACTCACAAGCACAGAGAAGAAGAATGGATGACAGCAGATGCCGAGGAAGCAGAACCAGAGGTAGACGCTGTGGTAGAGCAGCTCGGGGTCCGTGATCACGTTCCGCGTCGACTTGGACAACGTGCCCTGGTTGCCCATGATGCTAACCAGGTGGATGCCCTTCACCACGATCTGGGACCAGACAACTCATGTTATATAGAACTCGTCACTAGATGGCGTTGAAATAAATTATCACTGGCAAATCAAAATCAATCTCAAATATTAACCTTTGACTAAACAATCGCACAACAGTTGTGTGATTGTCGATTGTTTCAAAGATAATTAAAAACAAACACAACTAAAAATCGAATATCGCACCTCCATATAAGCTTATAGGAATCAAAGATTGACTAAACAGTTGTGTTATAGTTTGCTTAAAGGTGTGCGCACACTGTAATACAGTTGGTTCCTTCCAAATTAAGTGCTCGAAGGACCAAAATTATAAATAGTACATTAGAGATGTAAACTGAAGCCATATTTAAATATATAACCTTTTTAATGACAAGCCAACGCTTAAACTCTGAATTACAATGCGTAAAATTCGAATACTGAAGTGATATTTAAACATTTTTAATGATAAGACAATGCTTAAACTCCAAATTCCATTACAATTTTGTTGCCTATCGGATTGTGAGCGGCTCTTATGAAGCACTAGCTGTTCCCGTGCGACTTCATTCGCATAAAATTATGAAAATTTTATTTTATTGTTTACGTGTGTCAAATTCTCAATTGCAAATGTCAAAATACCAATATAATATAGATAATGTGTCGGTGTGAGTTTTGTTTGAGTATTTGTCCGCTAGTGCTGTACGTACGGTGAGCATGCCGAGCGCCCACAGCGTGGGCTCGGGCCCCGCGGAGTAGATGAGGCGCACGATGGCGCTGGCGAGCAGCGCGCGCGCGCCCGACGAGCGCGGCAGGCAGGCCACCAGCGTGCCCGCCGCCAGCGACACGCACCACACCACCAGCGACAGGTGCTGGCCCAGCTCTGCAGGGACACCACACACAACAAACACATCGTTTAGCAGCTTCCTTCACTATTAATAGACTAGGCTTTAGCTTCCATGGTTCCATTTAGATCCCTTCTATTGTACTAGAGGCTAGCCACCGAGTTTGAGAGGGTCAAACCGCACATAACATAGTCTTCCCGCCTGAAAGCACTCTTTAGAAGATCCCCCCCNNCCCCCCCTCAACAACGTCTTTGTGGAATTAAAAAATACTTTTAAGTACGTAGCTTATTTGTCGTAATTGTTCTATAACTGTGACAAATTTCAGCAAAATCTGTTAAGTGAATCTGGAGATACAAATTTTGTAATAATAAACATCCATCCCTGTAAACTTTCGTATTAATATTAGTAAGAATCAAGATTATAACTAACTTGGATTTTCTTCTTGGAATGGATAGAAGAATGCAACGATTACGTTGATCAGTACTGCGAAGTTGAATAAGATGTTGCTCCATAGTGACATGTACGACGACACCCAGAACAGGAACGGTTGCCCTGAGAGAGAGAGAGAGAGAGAGATAACATTTAGAAAAGTGCAAAACATTTTCCACCCTATCCACATTTTGTGTACGTACGTAAGTCGAAGTACATGTATGTACAGTCGCGAAAATTTGTCGGTGTTCTACTTTAGGTAAAAATTGCCTTATACATTGCAACGAGACAAACTCCCCCTCTTCATAAAATAATAAGATAGCAGTGAGTGGAAACGAAGGGATAAAAAAAACTAGCCTTGTATCATTAACTGATTTTTTTCGTACATATTTATAAGCTGCGTTGTATTGGTGTTTGTTCATCGTCTCGTTGCAAAATATTGAAAGGATTATAGCTTTTAAGCTGGAACACCGTTAGTTACCCCGATTGTACATTTCAGCTGTATTTACGTACATTTGTGAATTGCGTGCGTATGTGCGTGCGTTAGTGTGCATATGTGCGTGCGTGTAAGCGTGCGTATGTGCGTACGTGAGTACATACCGCGAAGCTTCTTCTGCCACTTCATCTCATGGAAGAGGTTATCAAGCCGCGAGAAGAAGTCTGCCACCTTGCTGCCCTGGTCGTCGCGCTCCGCTGTCTGCAGCACGCGGTGCTTGCTGTCCGCCGGCAGGTACTCGCAGATCTCCGGGATAGGGAACACTATCTGCTCCATACTACGGTCTGTTCGCACTATCTGTATACAAGATTCAAGGGCTACAAACGAGATCGAACTTAAGACATTAACACGCTCACTGCGTAACAGGTCGATATAGGCCTGACGCGGTGCTTAAGCTGGGGTAGACGAAGAAAACTATGTACCTCTCGCTAGTGCGAAACGATTTTCTCATGTGAAAACATTACATAAAATATACACATTATGTTTCCACAATGTTATACCTATTAAATCTATCCTAGTGTTGGTAGGTCTAGAAAGACCTGCCACGCGCTACCGGGGGCGCATTTTGGCCCGCCGCCGCACCAGATGAAGTAATTTAATTTTACTTGCCGCAGTAAACGTGTACAATATCCCGTGAAAATGAACAATAAGTAATCAAGGAATATACATCGACATCCCCTTGCACCGCACCGCAGCCCAGTACAGCATGGAAGACAATGGCTGGCTTCGATATAAAAAGACCAGTCCACCGAATGAATTGAAAGATGAACGAAATAATTTATTAATAAGTGAATATTTTAGTTTATAATTTAGTACTTCTTTGAAAAAAAATCCAAAGTGGGATATTTTGATTCAAGTGTAATGTAATTTGAACCGTATTGTAAGGCTGTAAGGTGTATTTTGGCATACCTCAATCTGTGCGGTGTGAGTACGGTAGTATTGTAGGGCGGGTGCGTTGACACCAGAGGGCGTGGCGCGCACCAGCGCTGCTAACTCCTTGTTATGGCCAGCAAGTTGGTGACACAGGATGTAGATGTTATGACCCACCTATAATAAGGTAAACACTTTAGTTACAGAAAGATAGAAGGTAAATAAATCTATGTAGTTTTCTCACTTCTTTAGGAGACACGCCTTGGACTGGCGCGTCATCTTCGGAGTCGGAGTCTGCGTCCATCGCGTGCTCTTGGTTGAATGCGGAGCATGCAACATCCACCTAGAAACATAGTAGTAGTTATTATTGTAAAGAGGAAAGATTTGTATTATCGATTTTTTTCTAGGTATTGGAATAACTCAAAAACTACTCGACTAATTTCTTTTACCGTTAGAAAGCTACTTTATCTGTGAATAATATAGGCTATGTTTTTGATTAATTTTTAATTTGACGCGGGTGAAGTTGCGAGCAACAGCTAGTAGTAATGTGAGATTGTTGGTAATTTCGGAAAACGAGAAGTAAGAGATAATATATGATAGGATAGTGTAAATCTACAAGAGCCATAATAAAATTAAAGATCCGACTCGAGGGACCAAGTATCAAATAGGCTGAAATATGCTAAAAATTACTTTTTTTTAAATTAATTAATAATTTTTACTATATAAGAAACCGATTTAAACGAATATAAGATGTAGACTCTAAAACTAATTAAACAGCCATTACCAATTGTTCCGGGTTCATATTGTACAATATTCTTTCAGCATTGTTCTCGGAGTCGTTCCTGGACTCCATGATAGCGAGCAGGAGTTTAGAAGCGTTGTTCTTGAGTTCCAGCACGAGGTCCATACGCGTCTTCCCCAGCGGGTTGATATCGTTCAGTATTAACGCTGTTATGATGTCTAGACCGTTGCTCTCGTGTGTTGCTATGCAATTTTGATTCTCATGGCAAGGACCTAAGGTACAAAATTGATAATTAACAAAAAAGTACAGAAGTTCACGGAAATTAATTCATTGAAAAATGTGCCTTATTTTGAGAGCGTTATGGTTGCTTATTCAATGATTTTTTTTATTCTTAGTCAATATCGAAGTATACCTTGGCAGTATTCTGTGAGTGTCTCTAGGGTCTGGTTGATGAGGGCCACGTTCCCCTCATTGATGTACAGTCCCAGCAGGCCGAGCCCGCCAGTGGTGGAGCCGCATATGCAGTCTAAGAACATCAGCGTCTCCGATACTAAATTGTAGTTGCTTTTGTTGTTTTGATTCCGTAGTAAATTCTGGAAGATCACAAACAATTTAGAATCAGAAGAAAAAAAAAGGACTTAGTCAAGTTTCTTTAATTATATTTTTTAAATAGCAAACAGCTATCTTGGGACAATCTTAAGTGTTGATTTTGTTTAAAAAATTCGATTCTTATTACAGAGCAGAAGTACGAAGTATAAAGGTAGGTTTCCATGCCTGTAGGTCAGGGTTGTGGTTCTCGCAGAGCAGCTGCAGGAAGCGCAGGATGGGCCGCATCACCGCCACCTTGGGCGGCAGCACGTCGCTGTTGCTCGCCTCGCGCTTCTTCTCCGACATTATCTCTTCTAGAACTGTCGTACCTGTGGAAAGTATAGAGAGTAAATATCTGAAATAATACGATTAGTACGCGTGATCAATTATAGAAGGAAAATAGGCTAAAACACATACAAATTTGCTACAGTTAAGAGTTATGCTTTCCCAAAAAGGGTTAAAATGATTCCTTACATTTTTGTGACATGTTCCATTTTAACATTTCTAAAATTTGAATGCCCCCATACATGATTTTGAACATTAAAAATTCACAGGAACGTAAAAAGAAATTGTTAAAGTTGTCACAAATATCTATTGTATTCAATTAGGCAGGAACGTAAAGGTTAAAGTCGTGTCTGGTTTTTTTTTTTGTTAATGTTTAAAGTGCTCCTCTTACCTATCAAATTGCCCTCCTGTGGAGAGTGAACCACGCCTTGTATAATATTGCCCTAGAGCGTAAAAAATTAAACCAAATTGGACGAGTGAAGGGCCAATATATTTATGTTCCCCACTTGAAATGGGTTTATTTTAATAAGTGTCTGTGTTTTGCCTATCTATTTCTCTTTGTCACTTAAGTTTTTTGTTAAATAATAATTGTATACAATTGGTTGACATTCATAGTTATATTACCATGTGATATAGTGTGTATATCAGAGTACGCGTGCACGGCGGAGCCGCACGCGTTGCTGATCTCATCATCCATGTCCTCGCCCACCACTATCGGACCTGGTGACGGCTTGCCTGACAGCAAACATATGGAAATTAACATTTTTATGTCAATTTTAAACAAATTTCCAATCAATTTTTGTTTATGGTAACATATGATATGTGAATTTAATATTTCGAGTACATTCAGCTTCATAAATAGGAATAAACTAGTTTACGTCCACAAATATGAGCGAGTGGAATAAAAAAAAACAATAAACAAAAACCAAGTGTCTATATGTTCTTTCAGATTTTACTTTACATTTGTGACAAATTTTATCCGATGTCCGTTCAGCTGTTTTGGCGATAAACCTTAAGAAAACTCCATCTAAACTTTCGCATTTTTAGTAATAAGGTAAATTAATCTTGTTTCGGCTTACGCTTTAAAAAATCCGTATGCATATATTCGTTATTGCCATAATTTCATAGTTGTAGTCGTCCGTACATATTTTTTGAAACCAAATAAGCGTATAAAAATTTCTGTAGCATTGTAAGAGCACATCTTTGACTAAACTATCGCACAACTGTACCATTGTCGATTATTTTGCAGTCAATTCAACTATTTAGTTGTATAACTAAAAATCGAGTAGTATCGCCATATAAGCTGAAAGAAAGCGAGACTAAGATGTGGGATGTGAAACTATGTGTAGTTATGTGAGGCTGAGTGTACCTTCAGCGGGGCTGTGCTTCTGTTTGTCTGCGGCGGAGGCGCGCTTGTCGGCGGCGCCCGCAGTGCTGCTGGTGGCCAGCGACCTGATCTCCTGCTGCGACTCGCGCATCTTGTCGTAGAATACCTGCTCAATTAGACAATATTTACGTCATCACATTTATGAAGAAAGTAATGTTTTTAAAAATGATTTTAAATAAGTAGCTATGCAATATTAAAAAGTAAATAGCCTATGTGTTCTTCCAAACTATCTATAGGGTGATTCTATTGAACGGATTATTTGGACGTACGGGAAAATTTTAGTTGAAAATATGTTTTTTACGTATTTTATACAAAAAAGTAAATAAACTTTAAAACTATAGAATATCGGGCAACATTACGCTTAAACGATAGCTATTAAAGTCTTCTAACTCCACAAAATCATCCTGTATATCTATGCCAAATTTCATCGACATCCTTACAGCAGTTTAGGCTACAAAGTAACATCCATCCATCCATCTAAAAGCATTTTTCGCGTTTTTAATATTAGTAAGATGTCTTTACCTTTAAGAAAGATTGTGATATTTCACCATTTTGCAACTTAGTAAATATACTGCGTTGTATGATAGGGTTGCCACCCTCCAGTAGAGCGATACCTGTAAAAATAAAATTATTAATACAAAACAAAAAAAAAAAAAACAAAATAAAAACAATTACAGTTAAGGTTTAAATTTGAATGTATAATATTTATATATATTTGATTCACGTTAAAACTACTTGGTCTATTTTAATAATTCAATCAGATTAGAAAGGTTATTTAATTATTTATTTTTTTTAATTTCACGCGAACGAAGTCGCGAGCAACAGCTACTGAATAAATACCAAGTTGTATAGCTTCAAGGAAGATGGCAGGTCTGTTGACGCTGTTGATGACCAGCTCCACCACCAGGTCGGAGGCACCTTCGCGGTCCAGGTGTGCCTGCACCTGGGACAGCGTCTGCCCCGTGCGCAGCAGCACCTTGGCTGCATATTGTTAACAATTAATAACTACCCACAAATATATAAATAACAGATAATTAAAATTAACTTTTTATTGATGAAAATAGGTTAGGTAATAAAAAGAATTTAAGTATTTTATTAACTATAGGATTGAAATCAGCTGATTAAAGCTATGATAGATAAAAAATAAATTCAGTACAGATAAAATATTTTATATGAATACTACTAAAATATCGGAAATGTTAATACATAAAATATATATTACTAGCTTTCGCCCGCGACTCCGTCCGCGTGGAATTAGAAAAAACGAAAGTGAGTAGCCTATGTGTTCTTGCAAACTATCCTCTACGTCTATGCCAAATTTCATAGAGATCCGTACAGCTGTTTAGGCTACAAACTCTAACAAACGTCTATCTATCCATCCATCCATCCATCCATACATCTAAACTTTCGCATTTATAATATTACTAAGAAGTAAGATTAAACATGGATTAATAAAAGGGATATTACTATATAGTGGAATTTGAGGATGTAGTTTCACCGGGCGGTGAAATAAACCACTATATAATAATAAAACAGTTTATTGTTTCACGTACACGGATACAAGTTAAGACGTACACGTAAACAATATAAACTAAGAAAACACGTAAACAAAATGGCGGGCGAGAGGGCAAACGAGCGAGGTGTCAACACAGTGTAGCAGCGCGAGGCGACTGTTCTGCCGGCCGGCGCGGCGCGGTGCATGATTTGCTGTTTGCACGTTGTGCGTGCGCGCCGCGGGCGGCGCTCTGCAGCGCGTTGAAATTATATATATAAATGTGGAGTGTGCGTGTTTGTCTGTACGTGTTATAATAATATTTTTATGTGAATATATATGTGATGAGTTTTGCGTGTGTAATGTTGTGTTGTGAATGTGTGTGAGTGAATGTTATATAATAAATAAATGATAAATAAATAAATGTAGTGTAATATATAAATAGATAGACAATTAAATAAATAGATAAGTACACTACAACTATATTTTTTTTAAGGAATAATAAAGTAATTTGACATAAAAATGTATACGAAATACATTGTGTTTGCGTAAAAAGTGCATAAAAAACAATAAAAGCATAAGTTGTAGATGACAAGCATGTGTTTGTGTACCAACCTCTCTTCGGCTGCGGCGAGGCTGCGTCGCATGCAGAACAAATAACTTCTAGACTATTCTAGCATGAATACATAACATAAACACTAGTATTTAACTACTGGCAGTTAATTAGAATTTATTCAAAACTTATTCTATCCCCCCCCCCCCCTAAGTATTCCAAATAAGACTTTAATGGTGGAAGCACCCCCCTCCTAAAACTAGTTGCCTATGCTCTCGCTAAATATCCAGAACAAAATTAAAACATGTTTTTATATGCCTCTAGTGAAATTACTAATATTGCTTACTAAATGACATCTTGGTCACTAAATCTAATTCAAAATTCTTTATAATTAGTAACTAAATCAGAATAGGAGTCGTTTGATATCAATTTAAATACATACTTTGTAACAATAACATGTCTCGAATTATTTTTTTTTAAATTGCGTAACATAAATTTAGAACAACGCCATCTGTTGGCACAATTTTACAATTTTATTATTTTTACATATATCAAGCAACTCCTGTTAACTTATATTTTATATTGTAGCTATATTACCTCCAGGGCCGTGTGTGGCGGCGGGCGGGGGCTGCGGCGGCTGGATCTTGGCCTCGGACTTACGATTCACAAAGTATTGGGACAGCAACTTGTTTCGCAACTGGTTGCCCTGCGATAAAACATGTTTATACGTTAAGTGACATTGCAAAACATAAATGAAAACAGAAATAAGATAGGTCATGTTTTTTTTATAATATAAGGTGGCAAACGAGCAAGCGGCCTGAATCCACCGAAATGGAAAGCGACCGCTGCCCATAAACATCCGCAATTGCAGATGCGTTGCCTACTCTTGACGGAAAAGGAGACGCATATAAAGTGGACATTTCCCCTTCCTATGCTTCTCCTCCACCGTGAAATCCAATTTTCCTTCCCATCCTTTCCTATCCCATACATATATTATATATTTCCCATTGTGACTGAGATTAGCTGACACAAAGTCTCAGACATCAAGACAAATAAATAAACCGACTAATAGCAAAGATCGTTGTTTTCAATTTATGTAAATACTAGCTTTCGCACGCGACTCCGTCCGCGTGGAATTAAAAATAAAGCGAGTAGCCTATTTTTTTTCCAGACTATCCTCTACATCAGATCTACAGTGGAAGCAATTCCGCGTTTCGTCTGATGAGTGTGGTGCCGGAGGCCTAATTTTAGTCCCTTTCACTTGCCACCTTTTTCTTAAGAGGTAAGGATGGGAAGTAAAAGTGGATTTCACGGTGGAGGGGCGCATAGGAAGGGGAAATGACCTCTTTATGTGCGTCTCCTCCGGCAATTAAGGGTAGGCAACGCATCTGCAATTGCGGATGTTTATGGGCAGCAGTCGCTTTCCATTTCGGTGGATTTGCGTGGCCGCTTGCTCGTTTGCCACTTTATATTATATATAAAAAAAAAAACATCTTTACCAAATTTCATCGAAATCCGTTCAGCTGTTTAGGTCTACAAACTCTAACAAACATCCATACATCCATCTAAACTTTCGCATTTATATGTGTCTATAATATAGTTTTATAGCTTATACAGATATTTTTATAAGAAAAACAAGTGAAATATTTAGATAATTTCCTATATGAGCGAGAAAATGCGATTTTTAGCTAATCAAGGTTTAACAAATTGTATAGAATTACCTTTTCACCATACTCCGGGTCCACAGCCATCATCTCTCTGAGTGTACGCAACACTTTCACGCACAGCTTTTCTTCTTTCTCTTCTAGAAGCTTCTCTGTGTGTCGGATTAATCTGGGAAAAACATATTTCACAGTTAATTTAAAAAAAAGTGGACATCAAATGTAGATTTCTCATATTAACCATTAGATGTCTGAGATACCTGGATATGAATATCCCGCTGGTATCCGGATGTGCCAGCTCGCCGGGGCCAGTAAACAGCCTGTGGGGGCGGTAGAGGATGTCCACCAGCAGCGACTGCTCCGCCTGCAGCAGCGGCCGCAGCTGCTCCTCCAGCAGGCACACGATCTCCTGCAGACCTTCCATCACGGAGCGGTCGTTCTGCAGGTTCGACTATGGGAACATGACCTCTACTTGTACTACGTCTAACTTGGTATAGTTAATAAGATTTACTGAGCTATTAATAATTCTGAGTTGCAGTAACTGCTTTAAATCTTGCTAGTGTATGGATGTTTGTTACTAAGTGTCCAAAACAACGTAAAGGATTTTGATTAAATTTGTCACAGATGGAAAACATAGCCTGGAAGATACATAGGCTACATTTTTTTTATTATAGGGCAAAATCTCATAGTTTAAATAACATCTTTACAATCTTAGGCAAAGTATAATAAAATAGGCAGCACATCAAAACTCAGCGTATACTTTTACCAAACAGCCTACCAGCATATATATACTGCAATTAAAAATAAGTTAACTGGTGCAAATGGTATATGGATTATCTTATTAATTTTTGATAGGAATTTGCTTCAGCCAGCACACAAATGGTAGAATAAAAAAATGTTTAATATAACAACATGTGTGTATAAAAAACAAGATGTTATTTTTTTTTCAACATAACATTTTTCTTGTCTCTATTTCGAATTCAATACATGTCATATTTAAATTATTCTAACCAGCCAGTGCAATGCAACCTCTGTTACACCAAGCAGGTTTTATTTACAACAATTTTAACTTAAGAATATTTAAAATCTAGAAAGGAATTGACGGATACGTTTATAAATATTTTGTTACAAGGGGAAAAAGATAGCAAATAGAGTGAAGTAAGAGACGAACAAGAAGAAATTATATTATAATCTGTAAATGAGATGAAATAATTTTAACAATTTCTCAAATCAAAATTTTATTTTTATTTATAAATTGTAACACTTTTTTTACCTTTTTTAAAATTTCCTCTCAGTGATATTTAACCAATAAGCCAATACAGCAAATAAAAGAAATATTTGGGCAAAATAAACACATTTGGGCTCAAAACATACACAAAACCCATACATGTGACAACACAAAGGTCACACAAACTCACTTCTTTTGCCGTATCTGTGTTCTCGAGTTGTTCCGACGCTTCCTCCTTACAGTTAAAATTAGTAAAGTTAATTTTATTAAAAAAAATGTATGAAAATGAATGAACATTAAAATTAGTTAAGAAAGCGAAACTGAAGAAATACGCTTTTATAACACTCGTATATAGCCGTCTCTTTCAGTCCCTTTAGAAAAGACAGAGATAGCAGAATAAATTCATAAACTTTGTGGTTTTCAGTAAGAATTTGTTAACCCTTAATTCAATAGTGTCCAGTATGACGAAAAGCTAGTTTTAAACAATCTACTGAACCAGTTTAGAGAAAAATACATAATATTTTAGTGTGTTGGTAACATTTTTTTTTTTTGCTACAAAAAACTCCTTCGAATGAAATGTTAATAAGAATATTATATTATTATAGTGAATTGATATATGTTATTAGATACCTGTGAGGCCATCTTCTCCAGCTTGGAGGTCTTGGAGGCCTGCAGCCACTTGCTGGTCTGTCGGGAGAGCGCGGCCGCCTTCTCGAACACCGTCTGGATCTTCGCCTCCAGCTCCAGCGGTATGGCGATACTGCGACTCTTCGCTGAATATGAAAGTATAGTGCTATTCAAATATTACAGCGGCTCGAAATATCAGAGTTTAAAAGTCAATGTAAGGGAAAGGGTACTTTTATAAGCGGTTTTTTGAGACGCGCACTTTAAAATTAAATTTTTAGTATAAATATTCTTCTTTTTTCTTTGAATTACATTTTAAATATAATGCAGAGGTATGTTAATACAGTAATGTATGGATGTATGGATGTACGCTCACCGACTTCGCTCAATGTACGTATGCATTTCTCGACGTTGAGTTTCTGAGGTGGTGTGAGCCAGGGGCACTGGTAGATGCGGAACGTCGTCTGCAGCAGCTTCACGAAGATCGACTGCCGTGTCTGAACATAAATTTATACATAGAGCATTTTAATCATAAATTCATAAATCGTAATCCCGTAAACATGTCGAATGTACTAGTTTCTTATAAATCTTTTTTTCTTTCTCACATCATTGTTTATGGGTGCATGGATTTTAAGAAAACAAGAATATGAAATTAAAACTTACTTTAAATCAAATCCAAGGAAAGCAACGAGAAATGTGTTTAGTAATCGCTATCGCACAGACCTCGAGCCGACATTATATTTGAATGGTTTTATACCTGTACAGTGGTGCTCTGGTCGCTGAAGGGCGAGTTGAAGAAGGTGCAGATAGTGTGCATGAGGACGTCGGTGACGTAGGCGAGCCAGGCGCGCTGCGTGCTGCTCGCACACGACTTCTGCGGCGAGAACACCTCGTCTGTAGACGTGCCTAAAGTACATGTCGCATTAACATACTAATATATGATAGTTCAAACTTGGGCATAAAACAGTAACTGCCTACATTTGCACACGAATAAAAGGGCGGATCCAGCTATGGCGCCAGGGGGGAGGTCACATAGTAATGGTCAAGTCAAGAGCTATGTAATATGTAAATATATTTTGTCAAGCTCTTGACCAATCAGCTCAGGGGGGGCCATGACCCCCATTGCTCCCCCCCTTGGATCCGCCCTTGCACGAACAGCAAGACGAATTTGAAAGAACTTCAATTAAAACTGAGCGTATTTACTGAATTGACTTTAGATGTATTTATGGATGCTTGTACCTATCAATAAAATTTTTATAGTAATGGAGCACTTTTATTTGATACGAAATCGGCCATGTTGGATTTATTCATATTGCCCATATTGAGAGTGTCGTATTGAAGTATCGGCTGTTGGGTATTGCATTTTTAATTTAAGTATTGCTTAATTTCTTCCTCGTAAAATAAAGAAATACTAAAAAATGTAGCCTATGTTATCACTGATAACGTAGCTTTTTAACAGTAAAATAAATTTCGAAATCTGCCCAACAGTTTTTTCAATATATACAAAAATACAAATCTTTTCTCTTTACAATATTAGTAAAGAAAATATAATTACTAGGCACGGCGTATGCCCTGGCGTCGCTGTGCAGTATCGCCTGCATGTCCTGAAGGAAGGACCGCTCGAATAGATCCCACATATAGTTGCTGGAGTAGATCTCCTTCATCTCCACCTCAGTGTCGATGTAGCAGTGGTTCAGAAAACCCACGTACGCTTCTTTCACCTAAACAATATATTAAGGGTCACTTCCACCACTGATAGAGGCTCAGATAGTTTAAAAATGACGTCACTTTCAGATAAAGATACTAAATCCGATATTTAAGTCCCTTTCTTTTCTTTTAAGGAGAGGATGGGAAGGGGAAGTGGATTTGACTGAGGAGATGCGTAGGAAGGGGAAATATCCTCTTTATGTGCGTCTCCTCCTCTGTCGGATAAGGGTAGGCAACGCATCTGCAATTGCGGATGTCTATGGGCCGCGGTCGCTTTGCCATTTCCATCACATATTTACACGTTGGATTGTTATCAGACAATTTACAATTTGGTGGGACCGGTCCTAAGTTTCTGATAGCCGGTTTCCCAGCCACGATTAACCATTCCTTAGTGTTTTTGGTTTTAATCGTGATTTTTTTTAATTCAGCCCAGTAGTTTTTGAGTTATTTCAATACGTACAAATATATATATATCTTTCCTCTTTTTAATATTAGTATAGATGTATAAATAAATGATGGCAGTTTCACGTCCTTTCAAAATATCCAACTACCGTCATTTTGAGGGTAGTTTAACAAGTGCAGTAACCTCTGGAATGCAGTCAGGGTGTGTGATGGTGGCCACGATGTCGTCCAGCGGCAGCAGACTGTGGCACTTGATCTCCGTGTACACGTTCTTGCCGAGCGTGCAGCATGTCAATAGCTTCACCAGCTGGATGTGGTACCTGAACACATAGGACTGCGTTATATCTGATAGGTCAAGTAATGCTGGACAAATTGATATTGAGGATTTTAATTTCCAATCCAGTACTTATTCACAACATTTAAATGTCATTTTTCTAGTTCACTTATAAGATAAAAGGACAGTAGCAAGACAAGATGCAAACTTAAATATTCAATCACTATCTATCTCTTTCTTTCCCCTACACAATAAGCGAGAGATTTGTTATTGACAATGGGTGAACGATAAAAACAAAAATCATGCTATTTCTATCGTTTTTTATATAGAGTGAGCGAGAGGGTTACCTTAACGCTTCAGGCATCTCATCGGTCTGCTTGTACTGGCGCATCATCTGTATGAAGTAGTTGAAGGACACCTTGTCGTTGTAGAACACCAACACGTCTTCACCCGCGTTCACCATCTGAACAATACAATAATAATTTATTGTAATAAACTATGTACTTACATATACATGAAATAAATTAATCTTGCACATTATTTTCAGAATATTATAACTTAAAAAAGAAAAAAATGTCATGTGTTTAGTATATTTTAAAATAGCGCCATCTAGCTTGACTTCCGGAAACCAAATATAGCCAATGAATTAAAATAGCTCATAAATTCACAATGAGTTTACTAAAAAAAACTTTAAATTTGTTATTTTATAATGTACTAGCTTACTCCCGCGACTCCGTGCGCGTGGAATTAAAAAACACATTGATGTCTAATTTCAACATCTGTTCAGCAGTTCAGGTTGCAATGCATGTCTGTTAGAGATATCCATCTGAACTTTCGCATTTATATTAGTAGGTATATGTATGGCACACCTCCTGCATGACCAGGTCCTGGCTGCGGCGGATGTGCTGTCCCGCGGCGCGTACGATAGTCCTCAGGAAGTGCAGGTATGCGGGGCGGCGGCCGCGAGTTTCTATGCAGTGTACGAAATGGGCCGCCACCTTGTCGTTACCCTCGTGAGCGCATAGCGCGGGATTCTCCTCGAAGATTGCACACACCGTTTGAGCTTCACGGATCTATGGATCAAATACAACGAATCTATACTTCTATACTATTATAATAAAGCGTAAACACACACTTCTTTGTTACCTAACAAGCAATTACAGCATATTTTTGAATAATGCTCTTTTTAATAAAAAGCTATACACTTATGTCATGCTTTAGGCTATATATTTTCACGCCTTTAAACTTAGGGGATAAATATTTTGGATAAAAACCCTAATGTTGGAAAGAGACCATAAGTTGCTGCCAACATGAATGTTGCCATGGTTTGTCATGTCATGTCATTTCGACATTTCTAATTTGACAAATGTAAACAATAAAATAAAGTTTTATAATTTCATGCAGATGAGGCTGCAGGAGAACAGCTTGTTTCTTATAAAGGCGACAGTAGTTTCCTTACCCCTGCGTTGAGGAATAGGTCGAGGTGTTTGTGCAGGATGGCCTGGTTCTGCTGGTTGCCGTGACAGAAGCGCTGTAGGAACTCGTGAGCGAGGGCCAGCAGCTCGTCCATTGCTGCGTCGTCTTCATCATGAGGCACCTGGACCATTACAAACGTTAATACCGAATTTACGATAACTTGAGAACTGCTTGTGCTCGCTTAAATAAGGTAGTGAATCTATACTATTATAAAGAGGAAAGATTTGTATTTTTGTATGTTTATATAACTCAAAAACAACTTGTCCGATTAAAAAAATTTCTTTCACGATAAGTTAACATAGGCTATATTTTGTACTATTTTTAATACCACGTAGACGAAGTCGTGAACAACAGCTAGTGTAAAATATTTTAGTGATTACAAAATGCCGTATTTAACTCAAGTTCTATAGTCCCTTACGAATTCTTATAATGTAGATTGAGTACGATAGGTATACACTAATATTTAACAAATACATTGTTATACTAAAGTCGATTTATTTATGTTTGTTAAGCTAGCGCTTGACAGCGACCCCACCTGAAGGAAATGATGACGCAGTCGAAAATTAGTACGTGATACTTTGATTGAATTCAGTTTTAGTTTATGGTCAATCAGCTCCCCCCTCTGTAACTTTACCTGGAGGAGGTCCAGCACGATGTTATGCACACCAATATTTCGGAGTAGCCGCTGCTCGTGGCGGCGCGGCTTGCCCGTGTCCCCGCCGCCGCTGTTACCTTGCGTGCAGTATTTTATCATGCGCTGAAGAATCTGAAACACAGACATACGTGTTACTGATATAAAATCTCTATCAAAGAATTGAAACTTTATTTTCATACTTGGAATCGAAAAAACTATAAAGGAACCTGTTAAATGATCACTAAGAGCTAGCGCAATTCCGCGTTTTCTCTAAGGGGTGTGGTGCCGATGGCCTAATTTTAATCCCTTTCCCTTTCCACCCTTTTCTTAAGAGAAAGGATGGGAAGGAAAAGTGGATTTGACGGTTGAGGAGACGCATAGGAAGGGTAAATGTCCTCTTAATGTACGTCTCCTCCGTCAATGAAGGGTAGGCAACGCATCTGCAATTGCAAATGTCTATGGGTAGCGGTCGCTTTCCACTTCAGTGGATTCAGGTGGCTGCTTGCTCGTTTGCCACCTTTAGATATAAAAAAAATGAACACACTACGCGATTTTTTGTTGTGCAACTAAACAGTTAAATGAACTGCGAAACAATCGACAATCGCGCAATAGTTGTGCGATAGTTCCGTCAAAGATATATGCCCGCTCTAATGAAGTAAATTCTTTACATACCTCTTTGATTTTCTCGTATTCGTGCATGTGGTCGTATTTGTGTGCGCGTGAAGTGTCCAATACATTGTCTAGTGAAGCATTGCGCTCCAACACTGCGCCGCCCGGACCCACTGTGCCTTTCAGCTCTGAAATAAACCCATAAATATTAGGAAAATAATTCACTTAACACGCTTACTGCGTAACAGGCCGATATCGACCTGACGCGGTACTTAAGCTGGTGCGGACGGAGAAAATTATATCCCTCTCGCTAGTGTGAAAAACATCTCAGGTATATACATTACATTACATCAAATGTATACATTATGTTTCCACAATTTAATCTAACCTAGTGCTGGGGGGTCTATAAAGACCTGTCACGCACTAGACGAAATATCATTGGGGGCCCATTTTGACCTGCCGCCGCACCAGTTGAAGAATTATAATTTTACTTGATGCAGTGAACGTGTTAAATCAGATTCACAGTATATAACAAAATGATATATTAACCGGTATGGTCGTCGAGTGCACCAGCGCGGCCCTTGTTGAATACCCATAGTTCAGACTTTTCAACGCTCTGCCGCAGCACGTCCAAATCCGCTTTAATCTGCTTATATGACTCTACATCCGCGTCTGACACCAGCAATTGCACCTACGTACAACAAAATTAACATTTATTACTATTTGTATACAAATAATTCCACTATAAAACAGAGACATCTATTGTCTAAAGTTGTTAACATTTGTGTTGCAACAACCAACGCCATCTATCGACCACTGACCTGTTTGAATGCAGCCAGCACCTCCTGTCTCTGGCTAAAGTGTCGGAAGAGCAGCGCGAGTGCGCCCGACACTAGCGCCGCGGACGCGCCTTGCGAGCACAGCTGGAGTAAAACCCGTAGTACCATACGGCCTCCGCATTCGTCCAGATCCAAACCATCCCTGTTTAGACCTTATTGTTATTGTAATACAGTACATATTGCAGTGAAGATGTTTGGTCTGTCTATTTTGTGGTTTTGTGAATAGAATTTTGAAAAAATATATTTATTCAATGATATTGCATGATCCTGATATAATTGAAATTTGTGATAATAAAGAATTCAGTCTATTTATTAAATAGGAACTTTTACAGTGTTTTTAAATTAGATAAATTACACTTTATAGAACACAATAGGAAAATTTATATTTCAACAAAATAAACAGACCTATTTACTAGCAAATACTTTAAAGCTGAAAGTGAACTAGCGGTACAAGCATGAACCAAACCGACAGATGTGCAGACACACAACATATATTGCCTACAACACCAACACAGTGTGTACACACGGACGACAAAATTAACACATCTAACTGTAAACCACTTTAAAAACATAAAAACATTGCTTTTCACTATGTGTCTTTCAATTAGAATGAGAAAGTCAACACAAGGGGCTACGACACTTTGAGACATATAGTTGTCTCTACTTTTCAATATAAAAAGAAAGAGATGACTATATGTTTCAATCTGGAATCGAAACTGTTATCATTGAATACTAACTAAACACATGTATTTGAGCTATTAGGTTAGGGTTAAGCTTAGGAATTTCTGCATAGCCCATGCTGTTAGGACTAGCTAGGCACTCAATCATGCATATATTTTCGTCTTACTAACAAATCTACATTTTTTGGTAGGCAGTTGTCAGGCACTGTCTGTATGGCTCTGGAAATATAAGACATAGTTCAGAATTGTAAATAGACCCGCCACCAAGCGCCCTGTTAGTATACCAACGTATTACTAGTTAGATTTAGCCCGTTCGTACAAAAATAAGCCTAGTCAGCCCTTACTAAGGGGCCTAGTCACCCCTTACTTAAGGTAGGCTCCGAGCCCCTCAGTGGGGACGTATAGTGGGCTGGGGATGATATAAATAAATCGGTGACTTTACTCTTTAATACTTCATGTAATACAATGTCATTATTGAAGTAGATCTATGAGATTGTATTGTTTAAGTCGCTTAGCAACTAGAATCGCCGATTTGCGTCGTGTACGAAGGGACTTAAGAGTCTTTATTGTAAAAAAAAATTAACACTACCTTTGAATTTTAATGATTAATAGAAATGTTTATAGTTGAATTATTCTAAAGACTGTGGAGTTAAAATTAATGCGAGATTTCAAAGAAGTTTCTACAAGAAATTTTATACTACTTCATAGCATATAAGATATAGTAATAAATGGAAATTAGATTATCTAAATAGTAGTGTTTTTAGCTTAATAATTAAAAACAGAATAATCAAACTAATTCCTTTAATTTTAAGTAAGTAACATATTACACTATGTTTTATATGTTTTTTAAATTTTGTTATGAATCTCTGATTCTTTGTCTATTATTTATAGTTAACATGCCTTAGTCACAAATCACTTTTACCATTATTTAAAAATCTATCTCATAGTCTATCCTAAAAATATATTTATGAAAGGAATTTTTATCCCAATTTCATTGAAAAATTAAAATTGACAAATAAGCCTAGTGAAAATGGAGTTTAAAGGTACTCACCGACAACTGAAAATGCCTTCAGCCTGCAGACCTATAGCCTCCACATCAGCTCGCGCCAAGCTGTCCGCTTGTCTCTCTGAGGACTGCTCGAACTCCTTCTTGAAGATGGAGAGCAGACAGCTGATGCGGTAGTCCAGTCGGACGTCTAGGATGAACTGAAGTACAACATTTCATATTAAGATTTGTATTATCTATAATAATATAAACAGGAAAGATTTGTATGTTTGTTTGTATTAAAATAACTCTACTGGGCCGATTTCAAAAATTCTTTCACAATTTATAAGCTACGTTTTTGCTGAGTCACAGGCTGTATTTTTAAATTTCACGTACACGAAGTCCCGGGCAACAGTTAGTACTTAAGTGATGTACTAAGTCCGAGATTATTTTTTTACATCATAAGCGACCACTGTCTAGAGACGCCCGCAATCGCAGTCTACCTTTAATCGACGAAGGTAACAGCAAGAGATTATTTCCCCTTCTTATGCAACCCCCCCAAAAAACACCAATAAAATATCCGAACTTTTAACTGACCTGTAATATTTCAATAATTTTGAGCTTCGTTTCCATAACGAGCGGGTGTTTGCGAGCCAGCGCCAGCGCGGAGGGGCTGCCCTGCACGCCGCCGTTCCCACTGCCCACCTGCAACACGCACCGCTGGAACATCGCACTGACTCGCCCGGCGAGTACACTTGCATGCGAGAACATTGTACTGCCATAACCAGCTCCACAGGCAACACCAGTCGATGACCTAGGCTAGGTCTACGGAGTAGCGTAAAAATTTCGACTTCAAAGGGAGGCAACTACCTCTCCTCTCCCATTTGACCATGAAGAGTACATTTTAAAAAGCCCCATTATTACCCTATTTCTACGGATCTTCTTACTAATATAAAAAACATACAGACGAATTGAGTACCTCCTTCTTTTGGGAATTCGATAAATAAATACGAAAGTTTGGATGGATGGATGTATTATGACGGACGGATTATGTATACTGAACGACTGCATGGTATTTAATAAAATGTATTTCAGAACAAACACATAGTTTACTTTTTTTTAATTCCACAGAGGAGTCACGGGCCAAAGCTAGTTAGACAATGCGTACATGCGGAAACGGAAATCCCCTATAATCTAGATATAAATAACGGAAGCATATCACAGAGGGAACATTTGTTAGTAAAATGCAAGGCAATACTTAGTGACAATACCGTGGAGGAGAGGTCTTCGAAAGTCGACCACTGCATTGTAAATGGGCGGGGCTCGTGCTGTGGGCCGCCCACCTGGTGAACAGCAGGACTGTCAAAGGGCTCAGGGCCAGTATGCCAGTGGCTGGAATACTGAGTGTATACTTACGTTGCGAGCTACGGAGCCTAGAGTGATGGAGGTCATCACCGCGCCCATGTCGCCTATACTGCGGAGTACGCCGCCCTCAGCTGTACATAGATAAAAAAAAATTACTTGGGCCTTAACTAATGTTATAAGAAAGCCGTTTTTAGTTTAATCATAGTTGATATATTAATTACATAAAAAATTTAAAAACAACTATAGGATAGCTAAAAAATAAATAAAAAAAAATCAATTTAAAATTGAGAATCTTGAAAAATTGGATCTTGAATTCGTTAACACTTACGCTTTTTTAATTCCAATTCTTGCGCTGCTTGTAAAAATTAATACAATCTTTGAGACCTGACACGTGTTTTATAAGGGTGTGTGTACAGTGTAAACTTACACTAACATTACTGTATAAATAAAAGCGGACGTACACCTGTGACTAAACTATCGCACAACTGTGCGATTATCAAGTGTTCCGTAGGAAATTCAACTATTTAGTTGTGCAACTAAAAATCGACTAGTGTCTATATGAAATTAAATGAAATAGCCTTTTATTCATAATAGCTTACAAAGAACTTATGAATTAGGTATACAGAGTTACACATTTATTTTTTCTTCATAGCTATATGTTTGCCAGTCGGCAAAGGCCTCCTTCATCATATTTATAATTGTAATTCATATTTATATTATTTAATCTTGTTAATTTTGGTTTCTTCTGTATTTAGTTTTTATTTTTTTTAATGTAGTTGTCTATTTTTCCTTGTAATGTACCTATATTTATGAATATTTTATTTATAGTATATAGTATGTCTATAAGCTTTTATCAAAGCGACACTAAACAATTGTGCGATAGTTTAGTCAAAGGTGCTCGCTCTAAATACTTACATTCCACTTCTCCAGCAAGAGGACTGGTTTCATTCAGCAGGTCCATAGCGGTGACACAGTCTAGTATACTGAGTAACGTTTTTGTTAAACGTAATAAATCGCTGAAGCTATTGAAAAAAAAAACAAATATATAAATAACATTGTCCTACTAAACTCCTTTCATTAATTCTCTACACATAATATAGGTAAACTAGCTGTTCCTATGCGACTTAATCCGCATGGAATTATGAAAATTTGATTTTATTGTTTACATCTGTCAAATCATCAATTACAGGTGTCAAAGTGACATGACGTGATGACAACTTTGCTTCCTTGATGTTGGCAGCAACTTATGGTCTCTTTGTCACATTAGGGTTTTTATCCAAAATATTTACCCCCTAAGTTTAATGGCGTTAAAACATATAGCCTAAATCGTGAAAGTGTAGGGCTTTTTATTAAAAAAAGAATTATTCAAAATTATGATGTAATTGCTGACATCTTAGGTAAAAAAATATGTGTTTACGCTTTATTATAATAATATAGATAACATCATCATCATCTCCCCTGTCTTATCCTACTCCCGTAGGGTCGGCGCATCAGGTTTTCGTTCTCCAAAGCACTCTATCATCCGTCATCTGTCATCACTCCCTTCTTGATCATGTCACCTTTCACACAATCCATTCATCAATATAGGTAAATAACATGCAATTAATGTTATAAATGTAAAAGTATGCAAGTTAGCGTTTGTTGCCTAAGCTGTTGAGATAACTGAGTGCAAAATCTAGTCTTCCATTACCAAAAACTTTAGATTTGCTATCAAAGTAAGACATTTGAACGTTATTTAATACATTTTAGTGAAAATCTTACTAATCTTACTAATATTATAAATGCGAAAGTTTAGATGGATGGATGGATGGATGTTTGTTAGCGTTTGTAGCCTAAACGCCTGAACGGATCTCCATGAAATTTGGCACAGGTTTAGAGCATAGTCTGGAAGAACACATAGGCTACTTTTTATCCCGGGAATAGTTACGGTTCCCGTGGGATTCATTAATTTAGTTTTTTAATGTTCACTCGATTATATTGCAACGGTTCAACATATCTTAGTGAAATTTGGCACAGATATAAAACAAAGTCTGGAGTCCACTTGAGATAAGCTTCATCCCAGAGAAATGTCCGGTTCCCGAGATACGTAGCTTTTTGTAATTTATATAGTTCGTATGTTTTCTAATACCACGCGGCCGAAGTCACGGGCAACAGCTCGTACTTAATAAATCTACACACTAAATTACACTTGGGCCTGGTGATCCATCATACAGGGCGCGACCCTAGTTTGGACATAAGTCCCCCGCACAAGGGGAAATAAATTAAGTTACTTTATTTTTTTAATTTTCACTAATTAATTAAAAACTATGTAGAATTTTACAAATAATCGAAAAATATGCCCCCTAGAAAAATTTAAATACCTATAAAATCCGAAGTATATCAGTTCTCTGGCCAATTTGACGACTTCGAAGGTGAGTTTGTTCTGATCGTGGTCGCTGAAGTACCAGGTGCTGGTGACGACGCGGCAGAGGTAGTTCTCCACGAAGCGGATGGTGGACGCGAACTGCGCCTTCACCTTCTCCCGCGTCGCGTCCGGACCCCCCTTCACGCACTGGTAACTGCCGATAAAAACACATCTTAAAGGCTTCCTCTCTTTCTCTCGCATAGCTAGGCGGCACTCTCTCTCCCTTTTTTGCGCATAGTTAGGCACTCTCTCTTTCTCTCTCAGCTACTCTTTTTCTCTCTCTCTCACTCACACCCAACAGTGGTAAAGCCCGCTTTAACATCTTCAACCATGAGTCAGGCTTGTAGTGGAAGTCATTCCGTGTTACGACTGATTAGTATGCCGATGGTCTAATTTTAGTCTCCTCCCCCTTTCCACCCTTTTTTGTATACTAGCTGTTGCTCGCGACGTCGTCCGCGCAAAATAACAAAACATAGCCTATGTCACTAAAAACGTAGCGTTTTAATGATAAAAGGTTTTTTGAAATCGGCAAAGTAGTTTTTGATTTATTTCTATATATACAAAAACACAAATTTTCCTCCTTATAATATAAGTATAGATGGGAAAAGTAATTTGACGAAGGATACACGAATAAAATTCTGTCACCATCGAGTAAGGGTAGCATTTGGTATTACCAATGTTTGCATGGATCAGTTCGCTTTTTTGGCGAATTCAGGTGGACCATATAAATAGTTTGACAAGTGTGTATATATATACTGACTCGTGCACGTGTATGGTGTCGCAGACGTCGCTCCACAGCCGCGCGTACTTGACGGGCGTGACGGGCTCCTGCGGGTCGCGGTCCACGTGCAGGTGCAGCATCAGCCGGCAGAAGGACGCGCGCAACTCCTGCGACAGGCCCGCGTTTGACATGCATCTGTAAGATAGTTTAATTATAATATTTCAGTGGTAGAGCCCGCTTTGACATCTGCGCACGAATGGGCTCGCCCCCAGCAATATCACGACCACACAGAAAACAGGCGTGAAGTGGAAGCAATTCCGCGTACAGTCTAATGAGTTTTGTGCCGGAGGCCTAATTTTAATGCCTTTCCCCCTTTTGTTAAGAGGAAAGGATGGTAAGGAAAAGTGGATTTAACGGTGGAGGGGACTCATAGGAAGGGGAATTGTCCTCTTTATGTGGATCATTTCGCTGGATTCAGGTGGCCGCTTGCTCGTTTGCCACCTTATATTAAAAAAAAAAATTATACTTGAGCGTTTTTAACACTTTTAAAGCGGCAAAGATTTTTCTATTCTTTTAGTTTGTTAGGCACCAGGTGTAACACATCCTGTATATTATATATACCAGGTGTTTTAGACCTGGTTTCTCATTTAACGAGTGAATGTACAAGACAAGTGGAAGTAATTCTTCGTTTCAATTGATAACTGATTGCTGGAAGACTAGTTTAAAATAAACTTCCCCTTTCTGTCATTTTCGTACAAGGAAGATACCGAGAAGTTGGATTTATCAGGGTAGGGCATAGGCAGGTGAAATATCCTTTTTCTGTACGTCTCTTAAGAGCGTAATTAAATAAAACACATGTGTGAGTGCGGACGTCTAAAGGAAGCGGTCGCTATCTTATAAAACGTATAAAACAAAAAAAAAACTAAACACGTAATAGGCAAGAATTAACACAAACATACTTGAGTATGAGATCGATGTGCAGCTGCGCGGAGAGGCTGTTGAGTGCGAGGTACTGTCTGTTGAGACACATGTTGGAGAACAGGTCGAGCTGGTGCCGGTAGTAGTCCAGCACTGCGGCCGCCTCGCTGCGCGGCTCCAGGCGGGCCTCCGTCGCCAGCTCTGATAGCAGACGGGAACTCTAACGAGATAAAAATACCAATTTATATGAAAAATATATTAAAAACATGAAGAATTTTAGTCCCTTTTTCTTTACCACCCTTTTCTTATAAGAAGAGGATGGGAAGGGGAAGTGGATTTGACAGAGGAGGAGATACATTGGAAGGGGAAATATCCTCTTTATGTGCATCTCCTCCTCTGTCGGATAAGGGTAGGCAACGCATCTGCAATTGCGGATGTCTATGGGCAGCGGTCACTTCGCCATTTTGGCGGATTCAGGCTAGCTCGTTTGCCACCTTTTGTTATAAAAAAAAATTGACTAAAAAAGGTCTGAAGAAACTGGTTTTTGAAGTATAACATTTAAATCAAAGTTAATTGTTTTGCGTAAATATAGGGATAAATAAATATACACTGACTTTCTTGTTGTTCCATAACAGCATCACTTCATCTTCAACCGTGTATTTGTTCTCCGTCTCCTCGACTTCCGATGAACGTTCGTATTTTGTTGAAACCAATCTATCGACAAAAATAGATAAATACTAACAAACCACGCAATATTTATCATAACTAAACATTTAACAATCAAAATGTGTTAAAAATTGGGATGTATTGCATAAGCTATTTATTTTTAAAATTCAGAACAGCGCCATCTAAAGAAACTTAAACGTATCTTTTAATTTAAAAGTTAAGAACAACGCCATCTAGAGTAACTTAAACCAATTTTAGTTTTTTAAAATATAAAACAGCGCCATCTTGTTTATACTCTACTAATACTTGCCTAGTCTCTATAAGTATGTCAGCATTGTTAGCGCAGAGGACACTCTTGCATATCAACTCCTGTGTCACCGCGATTGCCTTCTTATTGGAAATGCAGAGATCACTCAAATAGTCCAAAAACCGTGATTGCCATGTCTTCATATTCTTACGTACGAGACCTAAAACATATTGTTTAAAATAAATCTAATAGTTATTTAAGTCAATAATAAATAATAATAACAATAATGATTGGATATTGCATTCTTGAGCTCAGTATAAACGTTCAGTCAACTAAGGGTCTGTCTTAAAATTGTCTGGATCTAAAAATCTTGAATTTACGTACCAACGAATGTCTCAATCTCCGAAGCGGTTATATGCTTCTCCAGCAGTTTCCGGTTGTTGTGCAGCAGCGCGGTGATGGTGTCCTCCGCGAGGATGTCGTATCCAATTTGCTTTTGCATGAAGCCGAAGTGCTTCGCTATGTATTCCTGTAACCACACATTTACTATTATTAATGTGAAATCTTGTATGGGTGGATGGATGGATGTATCTCTTATTACGAAATTGAATCGAAGTAATCAGTTGAGAGACAACAAGAAGTTTTTAGATACAAGGGCGTTTCCAAAAGGGCAAGGAGGCAGCTGCTCCCTCCTAGATAATTGAAAAATGTAAACTAGATATAAAATCTACTGCTAACATCAAAAATGTCCTCATTCCCTATAAAACCAGAGAGATTAGTAACCCAAGAAATTATCAAATTTTAATTTAAAACATTGGACAATCAAAAAGCATTCTCTTTGGAATAATAAAAATATTTTTTTACTAGCCACTCCCCCTTGATTATTGCCCTCCTATAGCAACGCCCACATGTAAAATTCCCGAGGGTCATGGAAGTGCTGTCAGCTAAGATGAAGCTAGACTTGCCTGGTTCTTCCTGTAGTCCTGCTGGCTGAGGCGCAGGATGCGGTAGCACAGCCTGAAGATGCACTTGTATGGTGCGTAGCGAGGGTCGTATAACTCCTCGATCTTCAGAAACGGCTCCCCACCGCCCTCCGAACTCTCTTGGAATGGGCCCTAGGAGATATAAAACTGGCATTTAATATACTCAGAGTTTAATACTTAGTAATCACTTCCTTAGTGTAGTTTTTCTTTATTAAGCTTCACTAGGGAACAATAATAGTTATTTCAAACGTAATAAATGCTTAATTAAGTAGATATTAACTTAATAAAATCACATTAAGTGGCGCCTTTAGTAAAGGTTTAGCCACTCTGAGTAACAAGCTGCACCCTTGTATCGTGGATAAATTTACTCTACAAGACTACATAATATTGATTGCTTGTACCTGTAGAATTTTAAACAGCTGCCGCAGTATGTATTGTTCTCGCAGCAGCTTCTGGCGGTCCCTATTGGGGTTCTCCACCACCAGATCCAGGGCTTTGGACTTGTTGGGCTCATTCTCGAAGCCCGCTATGAAGTATACGATGTCTTGTAGTAGACAGGTTAGAGCTCTGCGGAAGAAATTGGTATTTTGACCATATGGATAGGTTTTGGTCCTTCGAGGCAGAAAAATGTTTTTTTTTTGTCATGAATTACTTTTGAATATTCAATTTACATAAATTTCTAATGAAATATTTTATTGGATGGATAAGTTTACAGTAACTCAACGAGATTTATGTTTTGGAGAATTTTTTAAAGTGCAAAGGAATTTATTCCTTACTTCATCTCATTATGCTCTATATTCCCGTGGTGAAGTTTGGTCGACAAGGCCGACAGCACTTTGCACGCGTCGTTCGCGAAGTCTAGATCTCTCACTTCGCTGGGAGACACTGATATTAAAGCAAATGCTTCTTTATCCTCTTTTACTATTGAACATCCGACCTGGAAAATATTTACTTGACAAATGACGTCATAAATCAGATTGTAGTGTACAAAATAGTTTGCATTCTAAATTAATTAAAAGAGACCTATAAAAGTACCAAATACTTCGTTGTTTGTATAGGTTTAAGAAAAGGGGAGGTATAATGTTAGAAGTGGGCGGGGACAAATTCACAAAAATCTTACTTCGTTGTGTTTTTATAATTTTGTGTAAGAAAGTAGAATTAAAATCAGTTTATTATAGAGTTTATGTATGAAATAATTATAGTTACCTTGGACATGACAGGTTTCTCTTCTTCCTTGTCAATTGGTATGGATGTAGAGTGCACCCACGTGTGTGTGCATAAGTGCTGTAATCTGAAAAATTACTACTGTTTCATACATTTTACATACAAGAATATTTCTTTATTTTCATGGGATCAGTCCTTGATTGTCCTCAAATAAATCGTTGAATTAATCATACTAATATTATAAATGTGAAAGTTTAGATGGATGGATGAATCTTTGTTAGAGTTTGTAGCCTAAACTGCTTAACGGATCTCGATGAAATTTAGCATATATGTAGAGGATAGTCTGGAAGAACACATAGGCCTACTTTTGTTTTTTTTTTTGTAATTCCACGCGGACGGAGTCGCAGGCAAAAGCTAGTTACTAAATAAATGTAAAATTATGGCTTTTTAAAGGATTAAATAAGCGGGGTAAAAGATTGAATGAATAAAGTGAACGAGTGAGTGATCGCAATACGTGAGTCAACAAAGTAAGGTAGGGACGTAACCTTATGTGTGATGTTAGTAACTAAGTGAGCGAAGTGATTGAGTGAGTGAGCGAAATTAGGGAGTCAACGAAGTAAGGGAGAGTAGTAATCTAGTATGCGATGTTAGTGACTAAGTGAGCGAAGTTATTGAGTGAGTTAGCGAAATTAGTGATTCTACGAAGTAAGGGAGAGACGTGAGCTTGTGTGCGATATTAGTGACTAAGTGAGCGAAATGAGTGAGAGTACCTGACGTAGCTGCTCTGAGGTACTGCAGCGTCGGAATGCGTCATAGTGGTGGGGTCCAGCTCGAAGAGTGTGGCGATCTCTGAGGAGTGCGGCACCGACACCAGCTGGTACGCCGGCTCACCGCTCTCTAGCGGCGCGTCACTAAAACATGCAATGAACTAAACCAATCTGGAAGAGTACAATCAACTAAAGTAAGAGCGCGCATACTAAACTGTCGCACAACTGTTTAGTCACGCTTTGATTCTTATGACCTTGTATGGATGTGAGCACACTACTCAATTGTGCGTAAGTTTAGTCAAAAGTGCACTCGTTCTAAAAGTATGTGCTACTGACGGCGCTTTAAGACAGGCCTCAGCGGCGAGGTAGTGTCCAGTGGCGAGATGCTTGAAGCGGAATATGGAGTTCCAATGACCCGCACCACCGCGGCATGGGTCATGTTGCACTACCTACAAAAACATACAATACTACAAGTTTCATATAAGCTGCTTCTAAAATAAAACCACTTTCCACTGGCGAGTCCAATGGCTTTGTGGAAAAAGGGTTTAAGAGTTAGTCCACATATAAAATGCAACTTGACAGACACAAACAATCATCGTAGTTTCCCTACCTCTATCTCCCAGAGCGCCTTGCTGCTCGTAGCAGCAGTGGCACTTGACCTGCCAGTAGTCCGCAAGAAGACGTGCTGCCGCTTCTGATGCTCATCCATGGTCAGGAATTTCTCCTGCTCCGCATGGAACAGCCGCACCACATCTCCACCCTTCAGGATCTCCTCCTGGTTCTCCTTGTGCTCCAGGAAGAGTGTCACCTTCCATGACGTTGAGGAGTTCACGACGTTAACCTACAAGTATACCGAAATTCTGACTTCCTGTTGCCTTAATTATTGACTTAAATAATTATTTTCTATTATAGATTTCAAGCATTGTGTTACACATTATGTTTAATGCTTTAACTTAACCTAAGCTAATTAAAAAAACACAAAATGAACTACAGCTTATAAAGAAACCACAATCCAAATGGACGTAGCGAAATCTTCCAGAATGTTCTAGCAATTACGTATCTAGCTTCAAACGTTTCCACTGTATATTGTCATCACTTCTGTGATGACAGTATGTGAGTGAAAAGGGTGACAATGTTTTTCAACATGTATTTCGGCAGTCGGAACTCTGTCCATGATACATCATACCTGCTTCACTTCCACTTCCCAACAAGTTAGAGACGTTATCTTTAGAAGTACGTCATGCTAGCACAGATAAACAAGAAGAAAATAAAATAAACATCAACTAAAAAAGAAACAGTAATTTTATAAACTGCTAATCATTTTTCTATAAAATCATCAATAAAATTATAAATGTGAAAGTTTGGATGGATGGATGGATGGATGTTTGTTAGAGTTTGTAGCCAAAACGGCTGAACGGATCTGGATGTAATTTGGCATAGATGTAGAGGATAGTCTGGAAGAACACATAGGCTGCTTTCTTTTGTTTTTATTCGCGGGCGGAAGCTAGTCATCAATAAAACTATGTCTCTAAGTTTTAGGCTATTTTTGCAAACATTCAGAACAAATCACTCGTATTCTATGATCTATTCTATCTATGATCGTCAGAACAATATTAAGAAGTATCAATTTTAGACGTAAAATGGAATTACTTAAAAGTTATAAAGCAGAAAACAGATATATGTTTCCAGCCCACAAACTTATTATATAAATTGAGCCCAATAGAGAATAATAAACTAAATATAGAATAACAGTTTTCCACTAAGCAACTTGTCGCGCCACTATTTTCATCAGCAACAAGCATCATTGCAGCTAGCAATGCTGCGACGCTCGTATACCTAGTAACAGTCTCGATATCTCAGTGGAAACAAGGGTTTACTGCTCACCTCCATGCAGCCCACGTTGTCCGGTAGCTCGTGGTTGGACGACACGTGTAGGACTTGCTGGCCCGCATTTACCGGGTTCATAATCACTTTATCACCAACCACCACATTGTCCCCTATAATACAACTGTCAGATACATCGCCTTCTTTTTTATATCATAAAATGGAAAATATGCAACCCAAAATTAGACACGTTTAGACGGAATAGGGCACAAAAAAAGGATGCTTCCCCTTCCTAGGCGTCTACTCTTCCGTCAAAGCCACTACCCCATCTATCCTTTTCTTATAAGAAAAGCGTGGGAAGGATTTTTGAAAATCGTGTTAATAAGAAGTGCTCTAATAATAATAAATCTTTTTGCCTATCTCTTGATCTATCTGTCTAGATTATGATCAAAGTAAAGGTATTTTTAAGATAAGAAATCTGTCATAATAACCTTTTAGATTTAATCTACAACTCACGGCAAATTTAAAGATATAAAATACTTCGAGTAAGACCATATTGATAACAGTCAAGATTCAACGAAAGTGTCTTCTCACAAAATGTACATATTTTCACCAGTGAAAAGTTACCTTTACATTTTGTATAATACTCACCAGTCGATCGCAGTTTATAAAAAGGCATTACATAAAACCACGAGCCTTCATTTCCATTTGCGTCTAAATGTACCCGCATCGCGTTCTTCTCAAGCAACGCGGGCAATCTCTTGTTCACCTACAATACAAACTCTGTTACTCTCTCACTCTATCTTTCCCTCTCTTTTCTATTTGTCACAGAGTAGTATACATACAGTAAGATATTTGTTGGATTTGACGTGCAACAGCTGTATAACGCTGCCGTACTGCACGACTGTCCCCAACAACTTCTTGTTCTCCAGTTCATTCTGCTTCTTCTCTATTTCAGCGGCATGCTGGAAATATGTCAATCTATATTATTATAATAAAGCGTAAACACACACTTCATTGTTGCCTAAGATGTTAGTAATAACAGCATATTTTTAAATAATTCTTTTTTTTTAATAGAAAGCCCACATGCGTCACGCTTTAGGCTACATATCATCACGTCATTAAACTTAGAGGGTAAATATTTTCCTCTGTAGGGGGTAATTAAATCCTAATGTGTGAAAGAGACCATAAGTTGCTGCCAACCTCAAGGAAACAAGGTTGCCATCGTCATGTCATTTTGACATTTGCAATTGATAATTTGACACATGTAAACAATAAAATAAAATTTTCATAATTTTATGCGGATGAAGTCGCACGGGAACAGCTGATATTCTAATAAAATTGTAAACGTGTATTAGACAACTTGACATAAGAATTGGAACACAAAAGGTGATGAGTTCAAGAAATGATTCACGCAATAATTTTAGTTAAACTCTTTATTTTTTGACGTTTATTGGACTGATCAATCGTCAGATTTCTTCATTCGTGCAACATCTTTTTTTAAAATAATTTACCATGAAAAGGAACGTGAATAAATAATTATAATACCAGTAATGCATCACACTGAACGACAGAAATAGCATATTATCTTTATAATGGAGCCATTAGTTATAAGATGAACCGCTACATCTCGACTGGGCATTATTCTTTGTATATTTATAGACATTACAGGTAATATCGAATTGTGAAACGTGAAAAAAGAAGTAACAGTTTTATCCGTGTATAACTTATGTATCTTTACATTATTTGCTGCACGCAGATTCTTTAATTTGGTCACTAATTTTTATTTCCTTATACTCATGATTATTTAAATTAAGAGATTTATTTACATTAAGAGACCACTTAACGTTTCTGAGCAGTAAATGTTGCATTTTGCATTTTAGTCAAATTCTTATATAATTTTAGTTAACAATGTATGAAAATAACCAGCTAGGAAACTTCTAGATGGCTCGTAAGTGGGTTATGAATCAAACGAGTACAGTGGAGGAATTACAGTACAATAAAACTGCTCGTTAACATCCGCTATTTAGCAAGAGAACCGAAAATAATACAATGTAGGAATGAAATATGATCGAACAATATCCTTAAGTGATTAGGGTTATAAATAAATAACAAGATTCTCATTAAGTCATATTTAGTTTAAACTTAAGGAAGTGTTGTCTACGTAATAATGTCATCATCAACTTGCCCTTATCCCTTATGGAGGGTCAGCATAGTATGTGCTCTTCCATACAACTATCGCCGTCATATCTGAATCCACTCCCTTCTTAAGCATATCCTCTTACACGTAATCCATCCAATTTAACAGTGGTCGAGCCCGCTTTAACATCTTCGCACGAATGGGCCGGCTCGCCCGGTGTAATACCACGACCTCACAGAAAACAGGCGTGAAGTGGAAGCAATTCCGCGTTTCGTCTGATGAGTGTGGTGCCGGAGGCCTAATTTTAGTCCCTTTCCCTTTCCACCCTTCACTTAGAGGAAAGGGTGGGAAGGAAAAGTGGATTTGGTGGCGAAGGAGACGCATAGGAAGGGGAAATTTCCTCTTTGTGCGTCTCCTCTTCCGTCAATTAAGGGTAGGCAACGCATCTGCAATTGCGGATGTTTATGGGCAGCGGTCGCTTTCCATTTCGGTGAATTCAGGCCGCTTGCTCGTTTGCCACCTTATATTATAAATAAATTACAATATTAAGTAATCCCATAATTTTATTTGTTTAAAAAAAAATGATATGGCAATTTTTAAGCTTCACAAGTGAATAGATGTCTACTGCCGTCTGTTTAAAATGAAACAGATAGATCTGAGATATAAAAAAGTAAAAGCAATAACTCATTCAATCATAATAGACTTGAGTCATAAATTAAAGTATAGAAAAATATTGATAGTCATAGATATGGGGCAATAAAACTATTTCCATCACTGAAACGAAGTCACTGACCTCTATAATCAACATTCTTATTTTGACGGTCAAATGATTTATTACAGTCTAAAGATATTCGTATAAATATAGAAGGATTAATCAACTTTTTCTTAGATAAAGTTCGCGCATAAGGAATTCTTGCAAATAGCTGGTAACTCGCATACCTAGCCACTGGCATACTACAGGTAATGTCTCTAGCAGCCTGCATATGTGACAGTGTAAGTGTATTAAGAGAGGTCAAAGGGTGGTACGAAGGTACACTGGGTCATCTCATACAATCTCGTTGTCATTGTACTGGCATGTGTGAATGTACTATGCCAGTATCAGGAATGTTAGCTACTACGTTTTACTGGTATTCAAATTTCCGCCTTACTTCACGATGAATGGTTTTATTGACGAAAAATTATACATCGTATCTTCATCACGAAAACAGTGACAATATTTGAAATATAGGTCCTAACTCAAAGTCTTCAAGTCTCCTTTAATATAGATTTAGTAAAAGAAATGTACAGTAAGATTAACCCTGTCGTTTAGACTATTATCAATCTCTTTTTTTTCTATAGTATCGGCACAGTATGTATTCTGTACAGCTATATCAGCCGTCATCTCTGAATTCACTCTCTTTACACTTATCATCTATCTCCTTATACTCCCGTAGCGGCGCAACAGGTTTTTGTCCTCCAAATAACTCTATCATACGTCATCTCAGTCATCACTCCCTTTTTGATCATGTCACCTTTCACGCAATCTATCCATCGCTCGTCTTTCACAAATAATGAATTTAAAAAACAGTAAATGTGTGTAGTAAATTTCTTTTTAATTTCATATCTGCTGTTATACTCACATGCAACCTCTTGAGCAGTCCCGTGTCGGTGTCCGCGTTAGCGTTCGCCGACTGCTTGGCTGTGTTCCAGAACTGCTTCTGCGCGGAGTATCGGTTCATAGGGCATATCTTGAACAGGCAATCTGGACAATAAAAATACAAGGGGATTGGTCAAAAAATTGACCACTTCAAAGATCAATTACACGTAACTTTGCCAGGCTAGGATTAGGCAACCCGGCTACATGTTTAAAAAAATGTGCTCTTTCGCGTAATGTAGGTTTTATCAGGAAATCTTATTAGGGAAGGAAAAAGGCTTTGGATCTTATCCTAAAATATTTTGATACAAAAACCATCAAGTATTTTTGCAAGTTAAAAATGTTGCAATATTTAAAACCGTATCACTTTTGTCTACACTAAACTATATTACTTTATTCCCTTGATATTAAAGTTTTAATTAATTTCGTCATACGTGACAGTGTTAACGTTATATTATTACTTCGTACATGTACTCGTATATTGTGGTCACAACGTAACTCACCACGGAACTTTTTGGGCGGATCAGTCAGATCGCCGGCCTCCGGGCACACGACGCATCTGTCATCTACCAACCTAGGGAACAGAACATCAATATTACTTACATTTCGATAGTTTTACCGAAGACAGTTTTGGTTTAGATCACTCTTAATTTTAAGCCTAGGTATCACTAGTAGAGTAGAAGGGCCGAAGAGGTGAGAGACCTCGAAAGATGGAATTGGACCACGATAGGTGGATCGAGACCACGAAAGGAGACTCTTGTAGGAGCTTAAACGCACACTTTGTGTCGATGCCATACTAGTTTATATCCAACCTTCAATCTTTACCATAGTTGTAAACTATAAAGTATCTATACTCACCCCAAAGTACTGAGAAAGCCTGAGACAGAGCCCTCCGCGAAGAGGGACACGATGTCCCCCAGGTGCAGGAAACTGTCCCCCATGCTGCCGTCCTACACCCACCATACAACGACACCTGGCGACAAAAACATTACTATTTGGTACAAGACTATCAGAAATAATAGAATCTTAAGTACACAGAACAATAAACATTAAAAAAAAAGAAAAGATAACAATTAACAAGATAGTAATTGGAAAAATAAAAATATGCACTTGACTAAACTTGACTTGTGTGTCTGAATCCTAAAAGTAAGGATTACTTCTTAGAATTATTTGAAGTCTATGATTTAAGTGTACAGGTGTAACAAAACTGCAATACTAATAAATATGAATTCAAACACAAACGATATTAATGTTTGTTTATATAAAATACACCTTCAAATGTTTCACTGAAAGATACAGTGATAAACAAACCGTAACGACTTCGTATTGCTGTGAGTTTCCACTGTTGAAAAATTCAAACAAGAATATATCATTATCTCAGTTTAATCATAGAGAATGAACGAGACAACAAGATTTCTGTGAATATTTCGACCATGGAAACCCACTGTTAAACATTTATCATAGCTTTTAGTCAGATTTCAAGGAACAAAGAGAAGTACGGTGCGGAAATTACATCTGAACAGATTTTCTTTATTGCTTTCGTAATAAACACTGCTTGAGACATGAAATTCTTTATTTCGGAATCTGTATTAAATAAGTTTTTTTTTTATATATTCAAAACGTCGTCCTCGGTTAATGGACTCTCTCAGTGAGGAATCTACATTAAGTGTCTTTAGTAACGGTCAATTAAAGTCTATATAATATAGGCGTCACAGCCATGTTATGCTTTAATAAATTATAGTCTTCATTACCTCTTATGTTTTCTTCCAATTTTCACAGAATAACCTTACCAATATGGCCGTCGTGTCGTCGAACTAATGCAACACCCTTATTTTTGACATCCAACTACTATCCGGTTATTAACATAACAAACACAATTACGACATTTTAAAACCATGACATAAATATTTTAAATAATATTTTGGATCACCATTACAAAGCTTATATCGTTATTTCAAATTATGACAAATGGTATTGATTTATAGCACAGACTAAATAATCTTTAAGAATATAGAATACATCAAAATAGTTAAAAAGCTAACAATAAGTTGTAAAGTTTTGTAAATGAGTCAGAAATTTTCAATAATCCTAGTGTAAACGCACCCTTACTCCTTTCAAACAATCTCAATAGATGTTCAACAAGGGTATCGTTGGCGTAATGCAAAACAAACAAGCTGTCGGAGCACCTTCCCGGAAGCCGGCGCCAAACATATCATAACCAGCCTTCTGGAAATACTGCTCATCTACCGTTTGTTTGTGGCTCGTCATTTTTAGATGTTCTGGATTATCAAAGATGTTGCAAAATAAACATCAATACATCTAAACGTATTGGTATTGCTTTTTATTAAAGTATAGTCGTCTTACTTCGCGGTGTTCTATCTTAAAATCTACATGTTTGAGCGTCTCGTACGTACGTAATAATATCACACAATACGCAGCAGTCGGGGGTATAGTGAAGGTAATCCAATAGTTTTTTTTTCTTGTTTTAATAAACGTCAATAGTAATCTCATTGTTAATTTTTAAAAAAAGAAGTCTTAGTCAATCGAACAGTGTCAAGTTTTCTGTTGTTAAGTGAATTATCGCGGTCGAAGGCGACTGTACCTTAAGGGGAACAATGAGCCAAAGAAAGGAGCACATAGACTAATTATTAAAGCACGTAAAGTTAACAAAAACGTTACCAAAGAACACAGAACAAAGTTTTCGATTACAAATGTTAATAAAGACATAAATAGACAATGAAACGGCAATACCAGTTAGAAATTACCAAGGTAAGTAATGACTATAGCTTACGCCACACCCACTTACCAAATTCACCAGACCATCCTCAGTACAACTCGACCAGTTTCATTAACAACTTCAATAAATCGCTGACAATATAGAATGTGTGCAACAATACTTTGTACCACAAACGCCTAACGTCTATAAAATTGTAACTCAATAACAATAAGATCACACCTAAGACACAGAAACATATTTTTCGATATTCACTTATAACCATCTGAAAGATATACTAATATCTGTAAAATTAAACCTTATGTGTATTGCTTTTAGGTTCAAAATTGTATATTACTTGCCCACGCATACACGTTACTGAGATTTCCGTCTGAAGTAAGCTTTTGTTGCTGTGATAAATCAGATTGTATCAGGACTTGACAAGACAATAGATGGTTTGTTCTGTATTTCAAGAGTTTAAAAGCAAACAGAACAATTTAAGATGAAGAAAAGTTCTGGAGGAAAATACACTTTCGTAGATCGTCATAACACTCGCGTCTTTAATCAAGAGGGGCAGACAGAAAAGTAGATTTGAATACTTCTATTATTATGTTCTATTAAATGCTGTCACAAAACAATATAGTCAGGGAAACAAGAAGAATGGGGGTTTAATATTCAGGAAATGAAGGCCTATAAAACTTTCAGAGCCGCCCCAGATTACCATTCGAGTGGAAGGGTCGGAGCTGATAGGATCCGGAATTATTTAATTAAAATATAATTTGGTTACAGGAAAATAAATTCTTGAAACTATTAAAGGATTTGGAGCAATAATAAAGGGAATACTGAAGCTTACTATATTTTCGAAGTCTGTGTCTCATAAGGTTGTATAGATACAGGCAAAAGTATTAAATTTTACTTAGACTAGAAAATGTAGCATAGAAAATCTTCTCTAATAACTAAAACTACACTAAGTTTCAACAGTATTTTCTATTTGGAAACTTAAGAAACAAAGACAGACAACATAAATCTTACTCCCAAAGAACCCCGAACGTGTATGCGGTAAGCTTCAATTATAACGAACCACAATTTCTTGCGCGGCCACACTGGCGGCTATTTGGTGAGGGACATTATAAGCCACTAAATACTTGTGAGGTTGGATGGAGGGCAATCGATACAGGGTGCGTATGCCCGACCGAGCATACGACCTCAGGCTAAACATAGTCGGGAGGGACACCTACTGACCCGTGTGGAACCAGAGACTCATCGGTAAAGAGTTAGGTATATATTTAAAGACTTGAGGGATGTGAACATCGATATACCGATACATTTTGAGATTTTTAATCCTGAACGATCTTTGAAAGTACTACTTAAAGCAGTCAACAATAGCAGCAATTCAGGCAGTTATCGTACAGTGGAGTACTACACCAAATGCAGTTAGCCTCGCCAGAAGTCAGTCAAGTTGTAGAGTATGGAAGACGAAAGAGATCAGAATTGGAGTTTGCAGAATAGTAGTATAATAAGTGAGTTGGTTTAATTTCAGTATGAACCACGAGCCCATTGAAAACCTAAATTGAATTAAATTTCTCCATTACGCCCAGCGAGACCTCACTCGAAATATTAAATGGTACACTTTGACGTTGGCATATCAAGATCGCCGAGTAGGGATTTGAAATGCTTGAATATTCTATCGATAAAAATCAAATATTCATCAAGAACGAAATTCTTAGAAACAACCGCATCATGAAATAAATTGAGACCATCGTTCCAAGTTTAAATATTCAGACAATTTATCTTACAGCACAAACTGAATATTAACTCACGGAACATATCTAGTCTAGCAATATTTTTAGTACAAAATGTCAGAGGGTCATTCTTTCTTATTTCGGATAACCCAGTTACCTTGTGCGGCGTCGTACCTATTTTTGCGCTGTACAAAGCATTGCTTACGCTTTGAGATTATGTTTATGGGCGTTAAATAATAATTGTTTATAAGGTGAGTTTCCACTGAAGCAGAATAAAAACAAACATCACTTTCTATCCTTGGAACATGCATAGAATTACATCTAAGACATGTTATTTTATAAAAAAACGACCTATTTATATAGTTTTACGTTGAAATAATTTTTGAAATCGACCCAGTAGTTTTTGAGTTATTTCAATACATACTGATATCCAAAATTACAAATCTTTCCTCTTTATAATTATAGTATAGAAAAGGAATAAATGTTAAAACCTATAGTTTGTTTTAGTAAGGTTATATTTTCATAGAGTTCTGTTCTTACTTGTATGTACGTAACTGTAAACTATATTATGAGTAATATTGTTTGGATTTAAATGAATTGAGAGCTAATTGTAAAATAGTAAACTTATTGTAATATAAAATAATAGAATGGTCAAATCTGAACCGTTATTGTTATCTGCGAGTCAAGGACATTTGCATTTTCCTGTACGACACGCGGTTATCGTTCACTGTACTAATCGACTGTTAGAATCCTTTAGGGACACAGATTAAGTAATTTGCATACAATATGTGTGCTAAATTAGCAGTAGCACAACATCGAAATGCGGCAGTTATGTAATACTTTGTGTTAAGTTTTATATGTACAGTCAACTCCGTTCTGGATGGCAATTTTTTTAAAAATTGTCTCTAAGGTGGAATTTAATCTGTACTAATACAATAAAGCGTAAACAAACACTAATTCATGACGTAAGATATTAGCAATCGCAGTATATTTTTCAATAATTAATTCTTTAATAAAAAGCCCTACACTTACGACACTCTTTAGGCTATATTTTTTCACGCTATTAAACTAGGGGGTAAATAAATTGAAAAATCCTTCATGTGGGAAGGGGAGTATAAACTACAAGCTGCCAACATCAAGGACGCAAGATTAACATGGTACGGTTGTCATTGCATTTGAATTCCGACATTTGCAATTGTGAATTTTACAAATGTAAACAATAAAATAGTTTTTTATAATTTCATGCGGTTAAAGCCGTACGGGACCAGCTAACTTTCAATAACACAAGATAAAATATTCAAAACCATACACAATGTACCACTAACACTTAAAAGCGACGGTATGCTAGTTTTGCGCGCACTGACTGGTGAACCTTCATGAAATTACACGAAAAGGTGGCAGACATGAATGATGGCCAGACTCGCTTCTGTTTATCCCACTTTGTACTTCAATGTATTCACTAATGACTTTGTTTAAACTGGAGCGGTAAATAACGATATTTGGACTGGAATATTTTTG